TCCCCTCGCCAATGGTATAAAAGGTTTGATCATTTCATGGTAGAGCATATGTATACTCATAGTCAATTTGACCATTGTGTGTATTATCGGTGTCTCGATGATGGATCGTTTATCTATTTGCTCTTATATGTTGATGATATGTTAATTGCTTCGAAGAGACAGGTGGAGATTGATAAGCTCAAAGATGAGCTTTCTAAAACATTTGAAATGAAAGACTTAGGCAATGCAAAGAAAATACTTGGAATGGAGATAGAGCGAGATCGGAAAAAAGGTACAGTCTGGTTGACTCAGTCTCAATATCTACGCAAGGTATTCTCAAGATTTAATTTGAATAATTCAACCAAACCCATTAGTACTCCACTTGCTCCTCATTTCAAACTTAGTGCTTCCATGTGTTCAAGTTCTGACGATGACAAAAGGTATATGGAGAACATTTCTTATACAAATGCTGTTGGTGCGTTGATGTATGCTATGGTGTGTACTCGACCTGATCTTTCACACGCAGTAAGCATGGTGAGTCGTTATATGCATAATCTTGGTAAAGAGCATTGGCAGGCTGTAAAATGGATTCTTAGGTACATTCTTGGCAATATTGATGTTGGTATTAAGTTTCAAAAACAAAAAATGTTTAATCTTGACAATCGTGTAGCTGGTTATGTGGATTCTGATTATGCTGGTGATTTGGATAAACAACGGTCTATTACGGGTTATTTATTTACTATGGCTGGTGGACTTGTTTGTTGGCGTTCAACATTGCAGTCTACTGTTACATTGTCTACCACTGAAGCAGAGTATATGGCAGTAACGGAAGCTTTTAAAGAAGCTATTTGGATGCATGGCTTGATCAATGACTTGGGTATTTTGCAGGAACATATAGATGTATTTTGTGATAGCCAAAGCGCTATTTGCTTGTCAAAAAATCAAGTCCATCATGCTCGTACAAAACACATTGATGTCCGTTTTCACTTTATTCGAGAAATTATTAGCAAAGGGGATATTCGTTTATTAAAAATTGGAACTGCTGATAACCCTGCTGATATGTTGACAAAGGTGATCGCTTGTGAAAAGTTCTGGCATTGTTTGGATTTCATCAACGTCGGAAGGGAGTAGTGTGTTGACGTGGTAGCAACCAAAATCGCTATCAACTTGGAGATCTTATGACAACGTGGAGATTGTTGAACACTGTCATAAGTCCTATTCTCTAGGACCAAGACCTATTCTCAACGTCTTTTTAGGCTTGTTAGTTTATCTTTAGGTTTAGCAGAAGGCTATATAATGCCATTCTTTCTGCTATTGAAATCATCAAGTTTTGAGTGTCATATTGTATGTTTTGAGTAACTTCGGTGTTGTGAGTACATTTGTTCCGCTTTCGGCGCACAACACTAACAACAATAACCCACTAAATGGAGCAAGTGTCATAGACAACACTCTGTTTCAACTATTGAAATGTTTTAACTTGTTTTTGTTACCCGATTCAATGTATTCAAACTCTAGTTTTGATTTGTAAATAAAATCTAGCCATGACAAACTATTTTGATTGGCGTCAATGTAACACTCTTACTCCAGAAAAGATAAATGTAATAAGTATCCATTATTCTTTTTTTCATTTAAGTATTTTCATGTTTACACTAGTATTTATTATATATTTTAATAAATTACATTTTCATTTTTTTTAGTTATTGGGCCATAGTATTTGCTGGGACTATTAATCTTTTTATAACATCACTCATGAGTGGGTCTTAACCAATAAGAAATTTGCTAAAGAAAAGGACAACGGATCAAAAGAGGGGTTTCCAAAAAGCTACCGACTTTCTTTACCATTCATTAATTTAATATTTTTTATTGAACATACAGTTATTTTATTTTATTCGTAATATAACTTTACTTTATTACTCGTAGCACGATCAAAATTAAAGCATACGAAATAACAAATATTCAAAACCTAGATTTTAAAATCAAGGAGCAACCAATCAAGATACAAAAACTGAAAAATATAAGTGAAGTAAAAAATCTTTTAAGTAATAAGTTACATTTTTTTGCTTTGTACAAAAATATATTATGGTACTTTATTGATGGATGGAGAAGACCTAAATAGTTTAGCTTTTATCTCTAATGGTAAGTTATGAAAAAGATATAATGATCAAAAGTATTGAATTATTAATAATTCATAGGAAGAAGAATGGTAGTGATAAAATTAAAAAAAAATTATCATATTCAATAATAAGAAAGATTAATGAGAAAAAGTGGAAAAAAAATATGAGATTAAACTGCCATTATTTTTCTAATATAAGTACACAATTTCGCCTTTTAGTCAATTCACTGTGTTAGTTCTAACCATCAATTGAGCTTGCATGTTTTAAGGAAGATAATGCACGCTAATTGATTACTTTGCAATACTAAGGGTGTGGTTGGCTACCATGCATTAAGTTATACCTCTCAAAGGAAGACACGATTCATAGTACAAGGTCCTAAATAAGGCTCAAATTGAGTATTCGACATGGATTGATTTCAGGCCCAACTTAATTCAATAGTAAGGTTACAATTATAAAAATTAGAGAACGATGACAACTAGAAAGAATGACAATTTTTTTTTAACAAGAATAGTGAGGGTAGAGATGGGAGAAATACAACCAGAAAATTAGGGGATGAGAGAATCAAATTTGTAGTCATTGGAAGACCAAGGGAATAATGATTTTCTAGAAAATATGCATGGACTAGAATACGATGTGGGCAATAGGATGAGTACAGCATGCATGAGGTAAGAAATTACCAAACTCCCCATCAAATGTGATTGATGATTGTTATTTTATATACTTTTCACTGGGTTAAAAAGAAGGATGAACTATTGTGATCTATGCTCTGGGTGATTGATTGACGTTATCTCCCCGTTGAGCTTGTTTGATTGTATGTGTGCATGATTCGATGTGTTAGCTATTGGTGTTTGACTGTGTTCTCGTTGTAGAGCAAGTTTATTTGTACAAAGCTGGGGCATTAGAGTTGTGTTGATTAGATGATGACCTAAGTCAGGACACTTCTAGTAGACTGGGACTCAAGTAGCCAAAACAAAATAGTCTGGATCGTGAGAGATGGTCATGACCTAGGTCAGGACACTTCTAATAGACTGGGCGCTTTAGGATCATGAGAGATGGTCATGAGGTCTAGACCTAAGTGCTTCAAGATTAAGAAAGACTCAAGTAGTCAGAACAAAATAGTCTGGATCGTGAGAGATGGTCATGACCTAGGTCAGGACACTTTAGTAGACTGGGCGCTTTAGGATTGTGAGAGATAGTCGTGAGGTCTAGACCTAAGTGCTTCAAGATTAAGAAAGACTCAAGTAGTCAGAACAAAATAGCCTGAAATCAGAAACCCTCCTCAAGCCACCTAACCACCCTAGGAATCCAATAGACCTCCTCGATTCTCAGATATGACTAAGGTGAAGTTTATTGTGGATTATGTGCTTAGGTGATCATAGGAATATCTCTCTAGCAAAACATAGATGAGAGAACTCAATTAAGACTAGGGCTCTATAGCTAGTGTGGCTTACATGCTGACCTAGGTTAGTATGTTTCCAGTAAACCTTGCATCCCAAGATCATGAGTGATCAGAGGTTTAGACCTGTGTACACCAGAGCTTGGTTTAGCCCGAGGAGCTAATCCCAAACGTCTTGGAAATAAGAGATGAAATTTAAACTACTTAGATGCCACTAAAGACCTAGATAACCATCATGGAAACCCCGAAGAAAAATAAAGATAGCTTGTAAGCCAATAACAGTTGGTATAGTGTTTACAGAGTTTTCACATTCCTTGTCACTCCAATACAGTACCGTTGAGTTAGGTGTGAGGCTTGTTGGATTACCTTGCACGATGGATCTGTCCAGTGGGAGGACATTGATCATGCAGGTAATCATCAGAGCTGGCATGTACAGGGGTAACACCCTTGACCTGCAACTACATAGCCTATGGGATGGGCTTACCAACTACCTTATTTGGGTGACAAGTAAGCTAGCACTCACCATGCTAAACCCATCTGTTAGAGAGTGTTCCTTAAGGTACCACCTCAATGTTGGATACCGATTACTGCTGCGTAGGCTAAGCTAGCAAGCCAAGATTGTGCATAGTAAGAGCAATACATATAGAGCCTAGAGTAAAGTCTGTAGTGTTCTATTAGGTCATAAATGCGATAAGCGCCTACAAGTAGATTGCTTATTAGGTATATTCATATACTCACTCCTATCTCCTCTCTTTTTTCAAGTGTTTGTCGGCTACCAATCAAGGTGAAGGAGCATTTGAGAGCTGTGCGGTCATAAAGAGGTAGTTCTGTAGTGTTAGTCCGTTTTTATATTTTGGAGTCTTTGAAATTTTATTTTATAACTGTATCCCAAACCCATTTCCCTTTTGTAACAGTTTGAACAATTATCGTCTTATAATTGGATTTTATTTTGTATTTAATTTTGGTGGGTTGATTTCATTTGGATTTGCATTTTTGTCAAATTTTCATCTTTTATTTTATTTTAATTTTTTTATTTATTTTTGCTTTCATCGTTTTAGTGGTGATGTTGCAGCCTAAAAATTATTATAAAGAATGCGGGAGAAAACGTGTAACAGGCAGACAATTTATACAAAAAAAAAAAAAAAAATTATAAAAAAATGATTCAACCCAATTTATACAATTTCTCTACTTTCCACGAAAACTATTAATGGTTGGTAAAAAATAAAAGGGAATAAGGTGGCGTGTTTATGATGAGAGATTGGTAGGTTGATATATTTTAGGGGTGAGCTGGGGAATCAATTCCCATGGTTGTTATATTTGAGTAAACCGCAATGTGGAAAAGATGCACGTTTTTAAAAGTATACCGAAACTGAATTAAAGTTTATAAACTGAATCCCATGTTCCAAATGCTTTAGTTTAGAGCATCTTTGGAAGCAATCTTATCTTCACTGGCCAAATGTCAACCCTTCTCTTGTATTAAAATTATAAGACAGTGGAGAGAAGTGAGCAGGAAAAAGAAAAACAGAGTGGTAGCAGAAAATTAAGGGGAAAAAACGAAAGAAATGGCAGTGGGAGAAGGCAAGGTTCACATTCTGGTGATTCCTTTCCCAGACGGACAAGGGCACGTAAACCCCATTGTTAAGAATGAGAAATAGAAATAGAATTGGGATCGAAAGTATGATCTTCATTCAGGTTTACAACGTTTAAATAGGATACAAACTATCAACTAATACCTAAAAATAGAAAAAATATATATCTAACTAAATTTGGTAAATAAATAAAATATACGGTTAATAAAATCTATACTAACAACTCCCTAAATATCTGATATATATTCTAACTAATTATCACGGCAAAATATCCTCTTAATACTCCCCCTCAAGTTGGAGAGTGTATGTCGATCACACCCAACTTGTCCTTCAAAAAGTCAAATTGCTGTCTTCCCAAAGCTTTAGTAAAAACATCTGCCAATTGCATTTTGGTCGAAACATAACACGGTTTGATGATTCCAGCTTGTAACTTTTCTCGAACTATATGACAATCTATTTCAATGTGTTTCGTACGTTCATGAAAAACTGGATTGGCTGCTATATGTAATGCTGCTTGATTATCACAATATAATAATGCTGGTTCGGACAGTGGAACATTCAAGTCTTGAAGAATGTATCTTAACCAAGTTAACTCTAAACAAGTATTTGCCATAGCTCGATACTCGGCTTCTGCTGATGATCTGGACACATTAGTTTGCTTTTTAGACTTCCAAGAAATAATTGAATTTCCGAGGAAAATGCAGAACCCAGAAATAGATCGTCTGGAAGTTCGACAACCACCCCAGTCAGAATCGCAATATGCCTGTAATCTTAAATTGTTTTCAGATGGCAGTAGAAGTCCTTGACCAGGAGTGCCTTTGATGTACCTCAGAACTCGAAGAGCTGCCTCCCAATGTGGTTTTCTTGGTTCATGCATAAATTGGCTAAGCATACGAACTGAATAAGCTATGTCAGGCCTAGTGACGGTCAAATATATTAATCTGCCAATCAACCGTCTGTATTTACTTGGATCATTCAACTTCTCTCCTTCAGTTAAAGAAAGTTTCAGATTTTGCTCCATAGGAAATTTGTCTGGACGTGCTCCTGTAAGACCTGTGTCTTGAAGGATGTCTAGAGCATACTTCCTTTGAGACATAAAAATTCCTTTTCTAGATCGAGAAAATTCAATGCCTAGAAAATATTTCAAATTTCCTAAATCTTTGATAAGAAATTTCTGGAGTAAACTAGTCTTGAGATATTGAATTTCTTCGAGATCATTGCCTGTCAACAGAATATCATCAACATAGATTAGAACTGCAGTGAAAGAAGTACCTTTACTCTTAGTAAACAAAGAGTAATCTGCTTTGGACTGAGTGTAGCCTGCATTTTGTATAGTTGTAGAAAATATGGAGAACCAATTGCGAGAAGCCTGTTTTAATCCATAAAGAGATTTATGGAGCCGACATACTGTATTCTCCCCCTGTCGGCGAAGACCTGGTGGTAAAGACATATAAACTTCCTCGTCTAGATTACCATGGAGAAAGGCATTTTGAACATCCAACTGATGGGTGAACCATTTTCGAGCAGCAGCAACAGTGAGTAAGCAACGAAGTGTAGTAAGTTTCGCTGTAGGGGAAAATGTTTCTGTGTAATCAATACCTTCAACCTGAGTGTATCCCTTTGCTACTAGTCGAGCTTTATAACGTTCAACAGAACCATCAGAGTTGTATTTAATTTTGTACACCCAACGACAACCAATAGCTTTATGACCAAGTGGTAGAGGAACGAGAGACCATGTATGATTACGTTCCAAAGCTGCAATTTCATCATTCATAGCCTGCTGCCATAACGGGTCGCCAACTGCCTCGTCATAGGTTTTAGGTTCTGTCTGGGATGTAATAAGAGCTAGAAAAGCACGTTGAGTAGGAGAAAAACGAGAGAATGAAAGGTAATGATGAAGGGGATACCTGGTGCCAGTGCCGGGACTTGAGCTAGAGGTTAAATGATTGGCTCCAGAAGACATCTCATAATCCTTATGCCAAGCTGGAGGCTGTTTAGTACGAGTAGAACGTCGAAGTGGAGCTGATGTATCAGGTGGGATAGGATTGGAATTAGTGGGCGAATCTGGAGAAGGTGGAGGAGACGACGGAGTAGTAGGTGAAGGGATAGGAGGTGAAGGAGGAGTAGGAGGTGAAGGAATAGAAGGTGGAGGATGGATGTTTGAGTAGGATGGATCATGAAGTGGTACAACAGGAGTCGAAGGAGCTAATGTCGAAGTTTGTGAAGCTGATGAAAAAGGAAAATCATCTTCACAAAATTTGACATCACGGCTGATAAAGAATTTGTGAGATTGCATGTCATACAACTTGTAACCTTTATGACCACAAGGATATCCTACGAAAACACAAGGAGTTGCCCTAGGTTCAAATTTTTGCTTAGGATGTACTATAGTTGCATAACATTTACAACCAAAAACTTTAAGATGATGAAATGTAGGTGGTCGTTTGTAGAGTGCTTCAAAGGGTGTCTTGTTAGATAATAATGGTGATGGCGTTCTATTTATAAGATAAACAGCCGTTAAAATGCACTCTCCCCAAAAATTAAGTGGAACCTGTGACTGAAAAAGAAGAGACCTAGCTACATTTAGGATATGGCGATGCTTGCGTTCTACGACTCCATTTTGTTGTGGAGTATAGACACAAGTGCGCTGAAATTCAATACCACAAGAAGTAAAGAATGGTTGCAAAGATAGGAATTCAGTCCCATTGTCTGATCGAACTATCTTGATAGTAGTATGAAATTGAGTTTGAACGAATTTAACAAAGTTCATTAACAAATGATGTACTTCTGACTTATGTTGCATTAAAAAAACCCAAGTACATCGAGTAAAATCATCAACAATAGTGAGAAAAAAACGCAAACCAGAATGGGTAGGAATTTTATGTGGTCCCCAAACATCACAATGTATCAGATCAAAAGCAGAATGGGTTGTTATTGAACTTCTTGGGAAAGACAACCTAGTTTGTTTTGCTAACGGGCAGATACTACAATTATGAGAATAACTCGCATTATTAAGATGCAATTGATCAGCTAGAAATTTAAAACGAGAAAAGGAAGGATGACCTAGGCGTAAATGCCACAAATTAGATGACTGAGATACTTGATGAGCTGAAGATTTGATTGGAGATGAAGAAATATGATAGAGACCTCCAAATTGTTTACCCGAGCCAATCATCTTCCCCGTAGCCAAGTCCTGCATAACACAAGAATCAGGATAGAAGGTGACATAACATTTCAAGTTATTGGTAAGTTTGCTGATCGACATTAGGTTTAAATTGAATGAAGGCACACATAAAACGTTGTTTAATTGAAGGTTAGGGCTAAGGGAAATATTGCCAGTATGTGACACACGTGCTGTCTCTCCATTAGGCAAATTTATTGCAGACATGATGGCAGCCTTTGGTTCAGTCATAACAGAAGATTTTGATACTATATGATCCGTAGCTCCACTATCGAGAATCCATGAATTAGAACTCGCAGAGTTAATAGATAATGTAGATATGGGAAACAAACCTGCAACATTGACGTGATTGTCAGAATTACCAGAAGGGTGATGATTGATTGCAGATAAGGCTTGTGCTATCTCTCGTAATTGCTCAGAAGAAAAATTTGGAATGGAATTAGGTGACTGTTCTTCTGTATTCAACTGTGAAACATCGGCCATATTTGCAGATGATCGATATCCACGGTTATTGTGTTGATTGTCTTGTCTTGTCCTTCCAGAATTATTTTTCTGTCGACACCGATCTTCTGTATGGCCCCTTCTATCACAAAAGTTACAGTGAAACTTAAGAATTCGACACTCATTGATTGTATGACCACTTTTATTGCAGTGTTCACACTTTTTGTCCTTGGCGAATTTTGAATATATTGTTTTCTTTTGCACTGCTGATGCAATCGAGAAATTCTCAGTAGGTTCGGAAGTTACCTGACGCTGCATCTCTTCTTGTACAAGTAATGAATAGGCTTGCCTCACATTAGGTAATGGAGACATCATCAATATGTTAGATCTCACCGTTTTATAAGACTGATTAAGCCCCATGAGCAATTGCATCAACTTGTCTTCTTCGCGTTGATCAATATGTATTTGACGTTGATTACAGGTAAATGGTGTGCGGTACGCTTCCAGTTCATCCCAAAGTGCTTTGAGCTTGGTGAAATATGTTGACAGCGCCATGGTTCCTTGTGACATCGTTGCTATCGAGTTTTGTATTTGAAAAATTGCTGGAGCATTCTTTTGTGAGAATTGATCGTGAAGATCAACCCACACTTGATGAGCTGTCTTGGCGTGAATAATGCCTTTAGCGATATCTGCTTCAACGGAATGAGTTAACCAAGATATTATCATACTGTTGCACTGATTCCAGAGTTCGAATTCGGTTGAATTTGCATCTTGGGACGGTTCCTCAATTGTGCCATCAATGAAGCCAATTTTCTTCTTGGCAATAAGAGCATGCATAACTGATTTACTCCAGGATTGGTAATTTGCTCCATTTAATTTGATTGGAACAAGTGAATATCCTGGCTGATCAGAGTGATGAATATAGTACGGATGTGTTAAATCAACATCCGAAATTTTGAAGCTGGATTTGGCTGATTCCGCCATAAAGGAAATTTTGATATTTAAGAACACCAAGATCGGTGCTCTGATACCATGTTAAGAATGAGAAATAGAAATAGAATTGGGATCGAAAGTATGATCTTCATTCAGGTTTACAACGTTTAAATAGGATACAAACTATCAACTAATACCTAAAAATAGAAAAAATATATATCTAACTAAATTTGGTAAATAAATAAAATATACGGTTAATAAAATCTATACTAACAACTCCCTAAATATCTGATATATATTCTAACTAATTATCACGGCAAAATATCCTCTTAATACCCATCCTCCAATTCTCGAAACGCCTCGTCTTGAAAGGCCTTAAAGTCACTGTCCTCATCACCCATGAAATCATTAACAACGCCAATCTCAACCATGTGGGCGGCGGCTGGGGTGGCTCCATTAACGTGGAGAACAAGCCTCGAGTGCCCTACAAAGGCACAGACCCAGAGCCCTTGGAGTCCTACATTCACCGCCTCCAAATCTCCACATCCTTCCACTTAGTCAAACTCATCACTCACCATCAGACCTCCAACTCCCCAATTGCCTGCGTTGTGTACGACTCCCTCACTCCTTGGGTTCTGGATGTTGCTAGAGGATTTGGCCTTCCTGGGGCTCCCTTTTTCACCGAGTCCTGCGCTGTCAATGCCGTTTTTTATCACATATACAGTGGTTCCTTGAAGATTCCGTCTGATAAGAAGTCTGTGTCGCTGCCTGCGCTGCCACTTCTTCAGGACACCGACCTTCCTTCGCTCATTTCAAATCCCCATCAGTATCCGGTATTCCTCAGGATGATGACCCATCAGTTCTGTAACCAGCCTGATTGGATGTTCATCAACACTTTCCATGCGTTGGAACCACAAGTAATTTATCCCAATTCTCCTCAACTCAACTTATGTTTCCACCTCATTTATTAACCATTTTTTAATCTTCTATTTTTTAAACTAAATTTTTCATGGAAAGAAAAACTTAATAATCACGACTCTCCAAAATTGTATGATATTATTCATGTTGAACATAAGTTCTCATGCTTTAAGTTGGTCGGTCCCAAAACGTCTCATATCAATGAAGATGTATTCCTTACTTATAAATTCATGATTATTGACTAATTAATTAGTCAACGTGGGACTCTTTCACAACGATACTCAACAACTTCTCAATATATTAATACAGGTGTTACAGTGGATGCAAACCCATACGCCTTTGAAGGCGGTCGGACCAACAGTTCCATCCATACTCATAGACAAGGGGTTGATGGACGACAACAATTACGGCATGAATCTAATCAAATCAACCGAAGACGACAGCAAAACCATCGAGTGGTTGGACTCTAAAGACAGCGAGTCTGTCATTTACGTGTCGTTCGGGAGCGTATCCGAGCTAGGAGAAGAGCAAATGAAGGAGATAGCGTGGGGGCTGAAAGCAAGCAACAAAAACTTCCTTTGGGTCATTAAGGAAATGGAAACCGGAGAGCTTCCAAACAAGTTTGTTGAAGAGATGAAAGAGATGAAGGGGAAGGTGGTGAAGTGGTGCTCCCAAGTGCAAGTTTTAGGTCACAAATCAGTGGGGTGTTTTATTACTCACTGTGGTTGGAACTCGGTTTTGGAGGGTCTTAGCAGTGGAGTTCCAATGGTGGCAATGCCTCAATGGACGGACCAAATAACAAATGCCAAGTTCGTGGAAGACGTGTGGAAGATTGGTGTGAGGGTTAGTCCAAACCAAAATGGGTTAGTTGGAAGAGAAGAAATAGAGTTGTGTATTAGGAAAGTGATGGAGGGCGAGAAAAGGTTTGAAATGAGACAAAATACAAGCATGTGGATGAAGTTGGCGAAGGAAGCTATGACGGAAGATGGGAGCTCTAATAAGAACATTGATGAGTTTGTTGCACAAATTCAAGAACGTAAAATATGATTGTCATTTTTATTTTCTATGGCCATAATTACGAGTGTTGTTTATTTAAGAATGTTTGTCATGTTCTATTACAAGTACTTATTATTGAAGTGTTATTCATTGCTCTTATGTGGTTTAGTTTTCATTGGGTGAAGCAAAAACTTCTATAAAGGGGCAATTTTAGCTTTAATAAAAATTACTTAAAAACTTATACTAAGTGGCGATTTGACCAAGGGAAATAGCTCTATGAACAAGACGCTTATCAAGTTCACGATGTCTCCCATGCTGCCTTTGCCAAGTCCTTATCTGCCAACATGAGAAAGAGATTCTCCGAGACTATTTGGTAGATAGCAGCAAGAGTCATCCTATCCTTCTGTTCTTCAATACTATCACCAATTCTTGATGATGATCTACACGTCATCATCCTATCCTTGTGCTCTACAATCAATTGTAGGAAGAGATTATGGGAGCAAAGTTAAGATTTTAAAGCTCAAGTTCTTGGAGAACATAACAGAGATCCAACAAGCTACCCTAGTTTTTGTCTTCTTCCATTTTATTTTATAGTTTCAATGTGGTTGTTAAAGAATTTAGTCCTATTATAGTGAAAATGGTTGGCCTATTATAGGGATTGGTATAGTAGTTATACGTGAAGTCATCATTACAAATCCTTTAGCTAATATTTCTCTTTGCATTTTCTCTATCCTATTCCTTTGTGTTTATCTTGATTGAGTGTGTGTATTGTTGTGCAACCCAATATTTCTCTTTGCATTTTCTCTATTCTATTCCTTTGTGCTTATCTTGATTGAGTGTGTGTATTATTGTGCAACCCTAACAACTGGTATCAGTGCTAGGTGAAATTTACCACGATCTGTGAGGATGAAAATTTAAAAGATTGGAATTGAAAAGTTTGATGGATCTGATTTTAGTTTCTAGAAGATACAGATTCAAGATATATATACCTGAAATATTTTACCACGGCCTTAGGGTTGATCTGGTTGACGTTGTCCTAGAAACGTGGCGTTCAACATCATCAAGGAGAAGACAATGTCAAATCTGTTGAAGACACTATCGAATATGTACGAAAAAATCGTCGACTATGAACAAGGTGTATTTGATGCAAAAATTGTTTAATCTAGAAATGTCTAATTGCGGATCTGTTGCTGGTCATGTAAATGAATTCAATATATTTAAGTCAACTAAGTTCGGTGGACATTACTTTTGAAGATAAAATTAAAGCATTGATTTTGATGTCATTTTTACCCGAGTCGTTGGATATTGTTGTTATCACGATCAGCAGTTCCGAGAATCTGAGAAACTAAAGTTCGATGAAATCCGAGATCCAAGAAACTAAAGGTAAGTACAAAGAAACTCCAGACTCAAATGTGATGAGACTCTCTATAGCCAACAGCCCGTGTGTGCCTCCACCTTGACCGCTACATCAAGCTCCACTTGAAAAGAAAGTTGAAGTAGGAGGGATGAGTATATAAAATATACTCAGTAAACAGCTTGCTAGTAGTTCATGTTTCATTATTAAGTCTTATTGAATTTATTCATATGTTCGGTATCTTACTCTCCTTTTAGGGATTCGTTCCCCCGTATAGGCTTCTTCCTAGGCTACACCTTAGGTTTTCTCATTCTACTTTCTTTTGGTTCTTGGTCCTATCGGGACCTCCAACCCTCAAAATATTCTTAAGTTCTCTAGGTCTCCTGGTTAGTCGTTTTTGCTAATTTCTCATCATCGTCATCATATCTCAAAGACCTCAAGGTGCAACCTCATTATAAATCTCATAGGGTTCATGCATGTTAAGGCTCGACCAACTCTAAGGTGCAACTATGGACCCTTACCGCTCGTGATAGGTTCACCAAAAGGAAGCTAACTGGCAAACTCCCAAATAGTCCCCACAGGGCGCAAATCATAAAACATCATGTGCTTGTTTTATGGTTATTCGGATCCCTGACAATCGAGTCAGGTTTACGATGAGGGGCTAGTTGGCAAACCCCTACCATCCCCGTATAACTACATAAATCGTGAACATGTGACATAGATACATAGTATAACGATCTAAACATGAATACCTAGTCATGAATCTCACTTTATAAGATAGTGCGTACACGTTTCAGTAAACATACATATTCGCTTTCAACAAATGTCATCAATACTCATTCTATGCCCAAACATATTTAATTGGGTTTCCATAATAGGCTTCTATAAAGGCATGCTATCAATTACAGTCATATCATAACTCAACAGTTTATTCCTCGATAAACGTGCACCATAACGTTTAATGTGCTATTACATACCTCAAACCAACTCATTTTCGGCTCAAATATCTAAAACATGTTTCTCATATCATACTTTCATGCATACTACAAGCATAGTTAAATCCAAGGTTTTTAGGTACCACTTACTTTAGTGTGACACATTTTGTTGGTCCTTAAAATAGGTCCTACAAACTCCAAAATTTGCTCATCTCTTCAAATGGGTGCTACATTCATAAAAATAGATGAAAATGGTGCCAAAATTGGAGTTAAAACGGAGAATTTACGCAAAAGGAGAAAGGAGGCCGCCAATGGTTGGGCCGCAGAAAGCATGCACCATGGGCCGCACAGGCCGTGCGTGCCATTAGCTACCAGGCCGCGCGCGAGATGGGCCTCGCAGGCCACATGATGGCCGTGAAGGCTGCATGCGCGCGATGGGTCACGCAGGCCGCGTAAGCGCGGTTCGGGTTGCGGGGTTTTCCCTCTTCTCCCAATTTTTCTTCTCTTCCCCTTACCTCTATCGTCGCTGAACTTCATTCCTTTTCATTTTTCTCCCTCAATTTCGTTTCTGACGCCCACAACCCTCGTCAAATCTCGTAGATCTACTCAAGATGAAGTCATAGATGGTCATTTTCTACAAATTTGTGAGTTCTTGAAAGGAAGCGCATACAAAACTCTGACCCAAAGTGATGCCTCGATTCTCCGTGTCCTTTCGCCCCTTTCGACCTTTGTCTTCGCTAACCTCAAGTTTCAAGCCACAACATTAAGAATCCTCCAACTTTTCTCCTAATTGATCAGTGGACGCTTGTGGGTCTCAAGCGCGAAGTTTCTGGCCAATGTGGGCTTGCAACGAGTTCTTCCAGCAGTTAGTCTTTGAGAGGTCGTGTGTTTCTCCTCCATCCCTGACGTCTCTCAAACCCCTCTCCTTCTACTCTCTAATGGCCTAAAAAATGGGCAACTCGAGCTATCTTTCGCTTCCAATGGTGGCAAGGTACGGTCACACCTACCACACGCTTTCTCTTTTTTTATTTTTTATTTTTTTTAGTTTCTTTTTTTATTGCTATTACTGAGCGGGTATTACATTCACTTAGTGTTAGGGGTGTACATAGTCCGGGTTGGGAGATTTTTTTGACCCAAACCAAAAGTTCGGGTTGGTTGGATTGG